AGATCAAGTCTTGGCCGCTTCGAAGGTCGCTGCCGCTTGGGACTTTCATCTTGAATCATTCATAGAATTTATAGAGAAATCGCCACAGGCTTGGGTCCAAACAACCATCGCTTAAGGGTCTAAAATCTAAAACAAAAATGTCAATCGTTTTTTTTCTGGGCAAACTGGCTCGGAGAAAAATCGTGCCCCTTTTGCCGGTGAGTTCATTTGCCAAACTTCGTTTCCGTGTTTCGGTCAATCTCCCAACTTTCTAATTGTTGGTCAGTCCCCAACTGGTGGATCCCCAAAATGGGTGTTTTAAAATGTGGTAAAGTTACTCAAAGACCAGCCATGTATCATGGTACCCCACACCTTCGACCCCCATTTCTATCATTTCTGTGACCACATCAGATGTGAAGAATTATGTGTGTTGAGTCATATTTTTGCTGGTCAATCTCGGTGCAATGTTTTCTTCAACACCATGCAAAAAGACATGGGCAACGAAGTGGTAAAACATACACGTCTCACAGAATGTGATGAACCCTAAACCGTAAATCATCTCAAATATTACGATAAATGATCGATCAAAATCATCCACGAATGGTAGTTGTGTATAAATCCCATCCCCCTAACATTAAACACCCCCTTTGTATGGTCCGAATATGTGACTTCATCCTCTACTAAACCATGGTTTATGGACGTTTATGGGCTGTGTTTGATATACGGAGGAGGGAATTACATACTGTGTGTTACCACCAGTTATTCCTATGTTTGGGATCATCCAGAATCAACCCAAGGGCATAAAGAGTCATTGGGATTTTCTGGGAAAGATACATAAATTTACAGATTCTATCATGTGGTTGAGAAGCTCATGTTTTTTTTCGCTCTTTGGCTCCTCATTCACTGGGGAGTATGAATACAATCATCGCTCCGTTCACAGCTCCTTCCAAACTAAGAGTTGGTTATTCCATGATTTTCTAGTTCTAGATCAACAGATACAATGACAAAATCATGGGGATATATGATATAGATGAGATACTTTCTGGTATATATACCCTCCTCCACATTAAAATAGACACTGCCATCAGTCGAGGGTTAGAAAATTAGTTTCCACACCGGGTCCAAATGTTAATTCACCAGAGGGCATCTTCCACTTGGGTTTGTCTGAAAAAAGTCTACCCCTAAATCCATTGGATTATCATTAGCTTCCCATAAAAATAGCCATTTGGGACATTATGGGGAAATTATGATCATCCATTAATAGCAACTTCTCCCCATAATTTTCCCTGCAATCCAGAACCATTTGGTTTCTTTCCTCATAAATGTAGCTGTATACCCCATTTCCGGAGCCATTTTCAAGCCAGGGTGCCAGGTGTCCAGGCTCAAAAACTTCTTTTCGAAGTCTGTCTCAGCTTGCCACTCGCGAGCCTGGCTGACCGTCAGGCGCATTGCTGTTGGTTGCTCCAATGAGGTTAGACATTGCTAATCCCAAAAAGGATAGAACAGTGAACTCCTACTAGAATAGTTGCTGGATGTTGTTGGTAAATCACATATATTCACATATGCTACAGTATCTTGTTGTTGGTTACGACTGTACACAATCCAAAGAAATGTACCAACGGATTCGTGGTAAGGGCTACCCCCATGCTGATTGTCTAGGTATTGATGCATGACAATATCTGGGTCCATGCTCACCCCTAAAACCCTAGGATGTTACTACTTTTGGGCATAGTCATAATCCGCTAGTCAAATGGAACCCCGCGACTAAACAGCCCAGGGGGGGTTATAGCAATCCAGGGCTGACATTATTCACCAAAGATTCAAAATCTTCCTAGTCCATCGATCCACAATTGCTGTATCTGATCACACCCAAAGGTAGTAGGCAAAATAAATATATTTATCACCTGTTGCACAACAGATGTACGTGAAGACACATACGAAAAAAAACACCACCTAGTTAATATACAATGTGGGTGCATCTGAAAATAGGATATACTGTGACATACCACCAAAATTGCCAGCTAAATGGAAAATATTAGAGCCATGAATCCATGGTAATCTCTTGATTTTGTTTAGGGTATACCGGTATACCACTTTTCAGACAAACAAAGACAAACCAATGATAAACCCATGTCATCTTGTTGGTGATCTGTTTGGCCTTATCGCTTATACCCCCCATGATTAGTTAAATCCATGTTGTTGGTGAGTTGTGTCCCCAGAAATATCCCCAAACTGTGAAGTTACGAATCACCTGTTCGTATACCTAGGAAACAACAATTTTTCTCTAGCTAGTCTTGGAATGTCTTGGATATATAGCTTGCAACAAAAAAAAATCAGGGTAAACCATCTAGGTTTGTGGCAAGATATTGAAGTATATACTTAAGTATCCATCAATGGCATACCCAAAAATTATATCCCCATTTGTTCTGAACTCATCTTAACTCATCTTAAATCCACATGATTTTGTTGCGGTTAACTCCACCTGTTTAACTTGGGTAACTCCCCACGAAAGATTCCCCAAGTGGAAGGCTTTCTCCTTTGATTCCACGCTACCCTCTGGTAAACTAACATAGCTATGGAAAATCACCATTTTTAATGGGAAAACTCACTATAAATGACCATTATCAATAGCTATGTTAGTTTAGCAGAGGGTAAGAAAATTCCAGACATTTCTCGTGATCTGAAAAAAATCCCCACATATCCCCAGAAAATCTGTATGCAGTAAATATCTGATGGTAAATGATGTTGGTAAAAAAGCCATTGAAAAAATACATGATGTGTAAATATCTCATTGGTAAATATCTGGTAAATGATGTTGGTAAATCTCCCCACAGCCGAAAAAACACTGGGCGTCCCTGCGCACTGCTCGCAGCTCTGTCGCAGCTCCGCGCCGCGCTGGCGCAGCAGTCGCGGGGCCTGGCCGATGAAATCGATGAAAAATGGAGGGATGTCCATGGGTTTTACAACAATCAATGGATCAATGGATCAATGGATCAATGGATCAATGGATTGGTTTTGTTTGGGAAAATCATGGAAAATCTACAGTTTACAAAATCGATTTTGATCATGGGGGTAAACCTGAAAATTTCCCTCAAACTCCATTGAAACAAGGAAAGCAAAGCAATGAATCATACTGAAATGTCATTGTAACTGTATCGTATTACACCATTTTCCAGATGGATCATACTCACATCTCATTGTATAATTTTTACACTTTAACACCACGATTTATTTTTTTCGGTGAAGTAGACATTTTAAATCATGAAAAATGGAACATGTTTAGCAATGAACTGTCTGGCTAGCGGCTAGATAGTGGATGTCATGGATTTAATGATTTACAGTACTCAGGTACTCATGATATGATTGACTGATTTGTGGTGGGAAAATCTACGGGAAACAACGATCTAAAGAACAAAATATATAGGGGATGTCCACTCTGCAGGTGAATCCAAGCCACCATGCTCAATATCCCTACTAATGTATACATATATAATCCATGAAAACTGTGATGGGGAGATTACATGAGATTTGCCTCTCATCAACTAATCTCGCAATCGGAAATCCCAAGTTTCAATACCAAGGAACAATCACCTGCAATCATGGGTATATAAGATTGTATCAGCAACCAAAAATGAGGGGTCAAACATGGTTTTACAACATATACAAGCCCGATATCTTAACAATATTTAACAATAACCCTAGCGCTAGATTGCGGACCCCAAAGAAAAAGGATCAATTTTGCTGTCTATGTAGGATAGTTCTGAAGTATAACCCCTCTCCGTGCTGGATAGACCCCCACCCGGAATGTGTTAGATCTCGGCCCAAGTTTCGTGTCATCCCCGGCAATGTGTCTTGGAGACCCTGCAGAAGTCAGCCGCTTAGATTAAAATATCCCATTGATTTCCCCAGAAAAATAACTGAACCAATCAGGATTAAGCTATCCTGCTGCAGTTTCGCTACGTAAGCCACATGGCCCACGGCCTCTGGCGTGCATCCACCTCATAGGTTTCAACTAAGATTCAACTCGAAGAACAACTTCCAAATCAAAACTCGAAACTCCATGAAACTCCTGAGAATGTGTGAAAATACTTTTGAAATTCAGCATTTTTTCTGAAATACTTTGAAATTCCTTCCAGTGTTGCCTTGAACGTCTGGACATCGGAACATGCCGTTGAGGTCTGAAACTTCGCGCCTTCCGGCGCGCCCGCCATGGCTCCAGAAGGCCATTCTAGATGTCATGCCCACCGGGAGATGTCCGATTTTTTTCATATCAACAGTAGGTTTGTCGGCTTAACAAACGAAACCCAAATCCATAAAACTGAGATCTGATCATTCTCCGAACATGTGTATATCATGTAATATCCACAATGGAAATGAACATGAAATAAGACTCAATAATGACTAAGGTAAATGGAATTTTCAGATACCCTATTCTCAAACAAAGCCAAATATGTAATAGTATAATGTGACAATATGTTACCGTACTCGAAAACGTTGCGTGGAAACCTGCACCACGTGGGTCTGTTTGTACGAGCCGCTGCCCAGAAATGTTCAACTCCCAGAGTTTCTTCAACATCTCATGAGAATAGCGGGAAATTGTTGTTTTTTCTCGCTCTGATGACCCAAATACATAAGAATCATAACAAAATACTGAGATATTCCCATTATTCCGATTCCCATAACAAATACTAAGATATTCCCATTGTTACCATAAGAAATACATAACAAGATACTAAGATAGAAGATGTTCCATGATATTCCCATTATTTTACATGGTGCGGCACAATGCAAAGCATCCTCGAGCTGGAGCCAGCATGTCATCAATGGAGCCATTTCAGGGCCAGCTGGGGCCATCGTAGTGCAATTGAGGATATGATTAAAGCAATATTAAACACACATATGTAGTATATATAACATACTAATACATACTATAACTTTGATCATATATAATAATATTATATATACGTACATAGACATAGAGTCTATAGTCGTTCTCCTGGAAACGCACAACGTTGCAACGCCGCAGATTTTTCACTCAGGGTTGAGCTGAAAGAGGGTGAAGGACCTGCCCAGCAGATGCACCCAGGGGACCAATTCAACCTATTGGACCTTTGAAGTTTGGGCATATTTCATTGGGAAACCATGGGAAACCAAGCATCAAAACCTGAATTTTAACATATTTCAAGCCACCACCTGCCAGGTGAGGGTCTCTAGATTTACCGGTGCAACTCCTTCACTCCTTCCTGTCCTCCCTTGTTCCGCCGTCCTCCTCCTTGTGCCATGGTGCGGGCACGATTCGTGGAATCGCCAGCTGAAGTAATCTCCCAGAAGCTCGTGGCGGGGGCACGGACCCGAAGGCATGCCAGAAAGACTCAGAGTATATGCGAGATAGAATGTTAGGTAGAATGCCAGAATATCAGATAGAATGTCGGAATATAATGGAATATATATATATATATGTGAGATAGAATGTCGGAATATATGTCAGATGGAATGTCAGTTGGGGGATCACTTAAAGAAAGTAAATTGGTTTCACGGAAACTAATTCACCAACAAATAAAACATATGATGTGATGTAATCTGGCAAAATCTGGCGCAAAAAAAACATGACCACCCTGCCCGGCTGCCCGGATGCTGCAGCGGCGCACGTCTCCAGGCCCTGATATTCGTTGACGCGGAGCACCTTTGGCAGCGAAAAGGGGGGCAGCTCGTAGTCGTATTTGATGTACGTCCTCGGGTTCCGAAAAAACCACCGGAGATCCCACGGCTGGCTGCGGCGGAAGGTGTTTTGTAGTCTGTGTGTTTTTTTTTTTTGGTTGTTGTTGTTGTTGTCTACTGAGAGAATTTGCAGGCTGCTTCCCAATACAATTATAGAGCTGCAAATTGATTAGAGGAAACAACTGCAGGACACAATGGAAAACTGGATGAAAACCTTGCGTCATCCCCCGTTGTTGGTTGGAACATTGCTGGTAAAAAAAAAAATCATGCACATCATGAGTATATAGATAGAACAACAGATTAACATACTCCCATACCCCATGTAGATTCATAATATCTATATAATATATATATAGATAGATAGATAGATAGATCGATAGATAGATAGATAGATAGATACACCCAGGCAACATTGCTAGTATAGCTTTGGACAACAATCAACCAACGCACGCGTTGGCACAGTTTCAAAGATCCCCAGGCTCCTGTTGAGCCATTCAGTGAAGGCCTATGAACTATGACTATAGCCGTTTTCATGGTAGTTTTCATAGGGCTTTACTATTTTACTGAACTATATGATTCTACTAGCAACCGACACCTATTCAGTAGACATCCACTGGTTGGTTGTGCCACACCACCCCCAATAAAACAACAATCAGAATAACCTATATATATATATATTATACGTATTATATACGTATTATATACGTATTATATACGTAGTATATACGTATTATATACGTATTATATACGTATTATATACGTATCATATACGTATTATATACGTATTATATACGTATATATATATATATATGATTATACAACTGTTGTAAATATCATATATTATGAACTTAAATAGTAGTCGTTACCAGCTTGGCGAAAATCCACCTCCATTGGTCCATCATCATCCCAGGATATCCCAGGTAGGGATGCCAGCAACGTCATTCCACTAACAATGTAACTCACCAGTTCTATGAATGCGTCAATGGATGGTAATTAAGAGGGACTATATCACTAGCTAGATATATGGATAGATGATATATACTAGCTACTAGATAGATGATCATGATATACTAGTGGGACATTGTAATAGATAGATGATATATACTAGCTACTAGATTATCACCTCACTTTAGAATTATTCTTAAGTGTACCGTCAAGGCACGTGTGGCAAGTCTTCTCGGCACCCACGAAATTGTCCACACCTTCGTGTACCTGGCTGGTTTTAATGTGAAAACTATCTATTACACCAGGAAAAGCAGGGATTTCATTAAAAAAACAACGAACATTTGGGGATTTAACAATCAAACATGGCCAGGACAACACTATAAATGAAGGTTTTAGTTTAGTGGGATAACTGTCTATAAATGAGGGATTCTGTCAGCAAGCCATGTTTGATTGCCGGAGGGTGAATGCAGGCAGCCAAGAAATTCTGAATTGTCTGAATTGCAACCTGTAACCAGCAAAACAATGGGAATACTTTGCTCTGATAGAATTTAAAAGAACCAATAGTTCTAGGTGGCAAATGGTTGGCATTGACTTGCTGAAATATGTTTTGTTCATTTTTTTCATAGGGATTCTAAAATCATACACCATTTCAACACAGTCCAAAGTCATCCATTTCGTGAGAGAAACGGTGGCCTTTTGCCATCAAACAACCGGGAAATCATCGATAAAATCATGGGAAATGAAAAGAGAAACACCTGGGAACATCACTCCAATAGATGTTCATAGATGTTCTATAGTTCTGGAATACTTGCCTTTTTTGATGGACCATGATACTGTTGGTACTGATCATTTGTTTAAGGGGCTGTGATTCAGAATTAGTCCATGATATCAAACTTCGACTTCCAGCCATCTGGGGCACATTGGTCAGGAGATACCGTGCACCCGTCTGCGCAAACTGTTGCAGGGCCCGTTGAGCATCATGCAAATGCATGTGGTTCAACCTTGGCAACAGCCCGAGAAATGATGATGACTTACATCCCAAAGAACATGGATAGGACATCTGAAGAGGAAAACTACCTAACCAATCCTAATCATAGTTGTAGGGGTTGTATCCCAACTTATGAAACTTGGCAGTGTGTCAAAACCTTGTACCCCTTCTGTTCACATCAAAATAGCTGGTTTAGCTGGATGTTCATTCCCCTAAAAATGGTATTTTCATAGGTATTGATCCATACCCAAATAGGAAAAATCCTCTAGCCATTTTCAGGTTGTGGTGTGACTTTTAACCATAGTAATAACCCCAAGTTATTAATTACCATAGTTATATCCATCAATAACCCCAACTGCACGGCTCGTAACTTGGACATCAACTGCAATGGATCTGAGAACATGGATCTGAAAACACCCAAGTTATGACAACAGAAGCCCACAACATAACAGCTCAATGAAACATAATGGAATATAACTTGATATAACTTTTGATATACCCTCAGGTTATTTAACATAGCCATGGTATAGATGGCCCATAGAAATAGATGATTTTCCCATTCATACCTCCATTTATAATAAGGGATTTTCCATGGCTATGTTAGTCAGAACTAGATGGTAAGGTTCCTCTCCCATCGATTCACCCACCCAATCCACGGCCCCACGGGGCCCAAAAAGGACTCGCCGAGATCGCTGCAAAAAAGGCACGTCTCTTTCGAGAAAATCAGTTGAGCACCCTGCGGCAATGGCATCTCTGACAGGTCCTGCGATACTCTGCGATACTCTGCGATCGGTTTCGTGGTGGATTTGAGCTACAGAAGCCGTCCAAAAAAACTAAAGGTATGTAAAGGAGTTACCTACTAAAATATTTCATGGGTCATTAAATGTCCCCATTGAACATCACCCAACCATTAGGTATATGGTCTATAATGGCTACTATAAGGTGATGTCCAATATTCCCAAAATGGGACAGTTACCAACCCCTGTATTTTGGGTGATAGATCTAACCAATATCTTTTCTGGAGATTGCGGAAATCACTGGACAAGTACTTACCACTTACATCCATTTTGACTGGAGCGTTGCCAACCACGCTTGAAAACCATCATAAGTTTCCCTATGAAATTTGACACCTGGGGGTCAAAAATCCCCAATTTTCAGACACACCCAGATGAGATCATTTATTTGTTATATAATGTTATATATATATATATACAGTACATACATACCAGTACCAAAATATATTTCATATCTCATGAAATCCCCGTTGAAACCCGGTCATTGGCCCCAAACCTCCCGTACCTCTCCTGTGCCAGGAAATTGATGCGCGGGTGTCGCTGCTGATTCCTCTGAATGACCTCTGACACTACGTCCTGGCCCAATGGCAATGCAAATCCTGCAAGATCAGCATTTTTCATTGGTGAAGGTAAGTGATCATGAATCATCCACCATTTTAATCCATTTTAACCATAGCTACGTTAAACAACCAAAGAGTAACCATTCTGTCATGATACATATATAATCATAGATACACCCAGCTATTTACATCAACATCTATCTATCTACCTATCTATCCATCTATCCATCCATGTGTATACATGGATACATGATCATAGATGTACATTCATTTACCGACTTCAAGTCTTCCACACTTCACCAGGTTTCCCATCGGCATGTTACCATTGATTAGCGGCGATCTCATACCAAAGTCTGCAGGTCTTTCCCCTTGATCTGTGCAAAGAATCTGCAGGGGATTCAGCGCAGTGACCCTGCAATCATCTGATGAATCTGGACGTTTCGGATGTGACGCCATTGAATGGGGATGGCATGAAAACCCGTGATTAAGCTAGAACTCGAGTGCATCCAACATATAACAGGGATATGAGATGGTGAATGTGACTGTATAACCACTTACTGTCCCTTGGATGTTCCTAATATACCAAGTGTTTTTTCCTGGGTAAACTGATGCACAGCAGTTCCCACCATGCTGGATGTCGCACCACGCCCGTGTACTGAATCTCCGGATGTCGTGTCACAAAGAAGGGTACCATCCTAGGCAGATCATGATGATCACGGCCATGGCACCCTCAAAATTGGACGCTTGATCGCTTGCTGATCAGGGGCCATGTCAGGAGCCGATTTATGAATTTCTTGGAGGTGTTATGGAGGTGTTTTAAGGTCTATGTAAGGGCTACAAGTAAGGGGAGCCCCAAAAAATCAGGTGGCCATGGCCACAGAAAATCCAGCAGGAAATCTCTGCAGGGAGATGTTAAAACCGTGAGAACATCTTCAGAAAATCATAGAATTTCCTGAGAACATGTCTATCCTCCAGTCAACTAACATAGCTATTGAACATGGCCATAGAAATAGTGGATTTACCCATTAATAGCATGGTGATTTTCCCTAGCTATGTGGCTATGTGAAAGTTTACCAGAGGGTATCTCAAAAAAAAATCTGGCATGGTTGATGTGTTTGACCACAACTGGTGGGTCAGACTTGGGATGCTTTTAATATCTCCTACTAATGACTGATGATCTATGAAATTGCGCGGAGTCCAACGTCTACGTGGTGAAATAATCATTCCGAGGGGATAAATCACCTATAGCAAGCCCAAAAATGATAAGTGTTTCTTTGAAAGATGGGATCTTGCTTTAAAAAAACATAATCTTGTAGAAACATTTTTTTACTGTATCCAACTCTACATCCCATCAATATGTATCTTAATGGATGTTCTCCACGTATCCCCATTCTTTGTCCGGAACCTCCATGGTCACCAGGTCTCCCTGCCAGGTGGCATCTCCGCAAGCGCAGTCCAACATGCTGCGAATGCCAAAGGCATCGACCACCGCCTGCAACGTCGCCAGCGCATGGGAATGAATGGGGAATAGTTGATGTTAACCATGGGGGATAAATCATCAATGTTTTTTCTGCATGTTTTTTTTTGTTGATTGAATAATATGAACCTGCCAACTGCCAGCCAGGGGAATATAATTGACCATGATAATGAATGGGGAATATTAGATTGTTGCCGACCATGGGAATGTAATTGACAACATGGGGATAATAAAATGATATGGGTAGAATGGGGATATGGAAGTATCTAGTAAACATAGTTGTAATTTGTAAACAACATATGGGAACTTCAGTTGGGAATAAGAAATGGTAAGTTCCCCAACAGTTGGGAACAATTATGACTAAAAGTTGGGAACTTGTACAGGATCCCACTGCTCTATTAAGTTGGGAACTAACCACTAATTCAAGCATTGCATGGGAATACAACTACGTAACAACATGGGGATAATGAGAGAATTCATGGGGAGTTAGTGCTGATTTGATGAATATGTATTAATGATTATTAATGGTGACCATTCAACAGGGGATAACATGGAGAATTAGCAGCTGAATTGGAGAATTCATGGGGATTTCATGCGGATATGGAATATATAAGCAACAATTAGAGTTACCGGCCCCCATTGGGGGATTCTTTATGGGGATTAAAGCAACCATGGTGATATACCGCTGAGATTCTTGGGATATACTGGTGCGTGCCTTCTTTTTTGGCCTAGGAGTGGTACACCCCCCTCGGTTTTTTTCTCGAGGGGGTAAAAACTGTAACTTACTTTTTGGGTACGCCCCGGCTGGTTACAATACCCCAAAGGGGTTGTGATTATATATATAATTATATATTATAATATATAATTATATATATATTATAATAGTCCTTTTACGCTACGGTGTCATTGGTCACATGGCGCAGGCTGGACAATTCCCAGCTAGAAACCTGCATGTTGATTGGGAATTTCCAATTGCCACGTTTGAAAAAATCACGTGGATAACCATCAAATTTGGGTTTATTCAAACATGTTGGATTATTGATATTTCAAAATTGGGTGATCATATTAACAGGGACGCTTAACAATCAACTTGAATATATGACCCAGCAACAAACAAAATTATTCTCTGCATATCATTAACCATCAAATTGAATATGATCACAATTAAGTGGATAATTCAGCAACAAAGAATTGGAGAATTAATGCGAATGGATGGGTGATTTAACTGGGGATTTAATCGAAAAATTGGACCTGGGGACAGGAGATTCGTGGAAAAAAAAACTATGAGAATATAACATGATTTACCCTCTGGTAATTTAACATAGCTATTGAAAATGGCCATTTATAGTGAGTTTTCCCATCAAAAATGGTGATTTTCCATAGTTATGTTAGTTTACCAGAGGGTAACTGCGGGAAATTGTAGCTTGATATAACTTGATATTTAGCTTGATAATATCGCGGCAGATCACTTAGAGAACCTTGGATCTGTTTTTTTTTCAGTCGGTGAGTATCCATATGTATACAGTATATATCCCATCAAAATGGCAATGGGAATCTTCCACATCTCCCAATGGCTACGATTCGAATGATGCCATTGGCAGTTGGAAACTTCCAGTTGGATTGGTGGGAAAATCTATAGAGGAAACCCTAGATTTTCCCATTAAAAAAAATGGTTGACTTTCCCATGAAGATATATATATATAATTGGCATTTCCTGTAAGTTTCCCTTAACAAAAATCAATTGAAACTGGAATTGAAACCACTGCTGTGTTGCGGTTCACCTTTATGAACTGAACCGCTGGCGCTTTGTGAACCACCGCGGAAACCTATCGGCTCAGCCGCAGTGTTCTTTTCAACGAATCAAGGACTCCTTGATTTTTTGTAAAAAAAAAAACAGGTTGGAACTTTGATAGTAAACTGAAAACAAGTCATTGAACAACAAATATTGCTACTATAATTCCCTGTTATTCCTGAAATAAAGCTAATAGCAGTGACTAGATATATACTAATAGTCAGTCAATGTAATTAATAGTAGCAATATTTTTCCAACTTTTGTTGGAATGTTATTCATATTAGTACGGAACACTCAATTACTGACAACAACAAAAATGGAAGAGGCATTCTTATTAGTCACCATTGGTGACTAACAGCGGCGATTTATCACTAATAGTTATTAATAAGTTATCATAGTCACTTTAACAGTACTATAACAGTCACTATTAGGTCACTATTAGGTCACTATTAGGTCACTATTAGCCATTACTTTTAGTCCTTTCCCAGAAAAATCGTTTTTTTTTTTTTCCGAACGAATCTACAAAAAATCCCACGAGTCGCCTCAAGCGCCGTGACGGCCAAGCGTGCTTCCGGGCTCCAGAGATCGGAGCCTGGGACCCACTGCGTTCGACATTCGTGTCGCGTTCATCCATTGGTAGCGTGAAATCATCCGTTTTAGTGGCAACATGTGGATATAAACATATATATATATAAACTCATTCTATCATGTTGATTCATGCTGATTCTATTTTTTTTTAAAGTGGCAGAACATGTATTTAGTGGCGGAAAACATGAGATAAATTCACAGGTCCAACGCATTCAACCAGGGTTCTCTGTGGTGTTAACAAGTCGGAGCAAGGGAATTAGAGATTAAGGGCATACTGGTTGGTGGTATACCTACCCCTCTGAAAAATATGAAAGTCAGTTGGGAGTATTATTCCCAATAATTATATGGAAAAATAAAAAATGTTCCAAACCACCAACCAGGCATATGTTCTAGTTACACCGATATGGTTTGCAGTTGCACTTTTCCTCAATCAACAGTTCCATACCGTTGAGATGGTTCCAGCACTGATTTGTTGATCAGTTCAACATATATAGAAATAGAAATAGAAGGAACTACCTCTATAGAAAACTGATCAAAATATAGTTGAGCTGATTTGTTGATTCCGGTTCCCACCGGTTGAACGGTTTTCCAGCTGGAAAATCACCCCATTGGGGACGACCAAAAAATAAAAAACTCTTCCTGGCAAGTCTCTAACAATGATTGATGAATTCATGGTCCCACTTCATGAATTCTTATCATCACCAATATGTGTGTATATATATATAGTAAGTAAGTAAGTGAGTGAGTGAGTCAGTAAGTAAGTAACTAAGTAACTAAGTAACTAAGTAAGTAACTAAGTAAGTAAGTAAGTAGGTAAGTAAGTAAGCAAGTAATTAAGTAAGTAAGTAAGTAAGTAAGTAAGTAAATAAGTAGGTAAATGAGTAAGTAAGTAAGTAAGTAAGTAAGTAAATAAGTAAGTAAGTAGGTAAATGAGTAAGTAAGTAAGTAAGTAAGTAAATAAGTAAGTAAGTATGTACGTACGTACGTACATGTATGTATGTATATATATGTGTGTATGTAAATATGTATATGCATGTATATATATATTAGTAGTATGTGTATATATATATATATTCATGTATATATCTATATATTATGTGACTATAGATATATATATATATATGTAGACATATGGAGTAGGTAAGCAACACCCAAACTAATCATCAATCAACCAGATGTTATCAATGAGTTCCCCATATTTGATGGTCGTAATCATCAACCGACCATCTTTGTCAAAGTCGCCATACAGTTTGAGTGGAATCAACCAACCAATGTGTTATTTTCCTTTTGTTTTTTGGAAATAACCAACGTGCTATTCGCATGGCGTCGCCTGTGCCAGATCTCGACACGTCGCTTCCCCAGACCTTATCCAACATCTGTGGTTGCTCTTTGTCTATATTTTCTTGACATCAATTGACTATATGTGATTTCTATCAACAAATAATATCATCCAATCATCGCCTTCGTCGTGAAAAGTCATTCAGCTGAACATACTAGACTTTCAGGAGTTCATTCATGGCCCAATCGATGCTAGCTGGTGATCCTTCGCTCAGGATGGGGCGTTGTATTCATAGACGATGGAATACGCTTTGTCCTCAGACAGTCATGGATGAAACACAAACCGACAGTTGGCCAGTTCATGACCTAAACGCCGCAACCCCCCTTTGTTTCCAAACGGGGATCTTGAGTTGATTTAGGATATTTAGGGAGCTTGCAGGAAACACGTCTGACTTTGAAATTAACCTCGAAATCTGATGTCTTTGGAGTTTTTATGCTTTTCAGCCTTCAAACTTAGGTATATTCCTGCAAATTGTTCTTTCCAGATCCATTTTCCCTTCAGTCTCATCTACCCTGCACTTCTTTTAGCTGCTTTGTCGGAACAAAACGACCTCTCGAAAGTATAGACAACTATACTAGAATATACTATAATTACATAATTACACTCATCAAAACTGTATAACTACCATTAACTACCCATATCCAAGGTTTCCCCAATCATCCTTCAACTCTACTCGTGTTGCTCCTCCCCGCGGCTCCTTCATGGCAGCCCGTGCGCGTCGCTCCTCTTCCGCTCCTTGAGGCAGATCCTGCACAGCTTCGCGGCTTTGGGATGCTGACGAGATAGTGTGACACAAAACATGTAAGGACACAAAGGATATATATTATATATATAATAATATATATATTGTTATATATTATATATATATTATATATATATATTATATTATATATATATATATATTATATATTATATATATATATATATTATATATATGTGTTTATAAATATATACGTTTATATGTATAACTGGTTTTTAATGCTTTTCTTGCTGAAACTACCACCATTGGCTATGAGGTCAGTTCCACTTGTAGCTTGATTTTGACACGAACACAGCTGGTGACCATGTGGATCTCTCCAAAAATCACCATGGAAATCCGTTCCATCCACTGGTTGATCCTCATGTTCCAACTGGAGGGGGTGGATCCCGCAGGTAAAATTCTGCGATATCCCCATGGAAAATCTCCACCTTCCCATAAAATCTGGCTGAATCAACTTGGAAAACAACTGAGTTCCACACCATTTGGAGATGATTCCCCGAATCCAATGCCCATGATTCCAGTAACGTCACGACGTGATGTCACCAGGTCATTCTAATTCATCCAGTTAAATTCCATCTTAATTAGAATCAATGACATTCCCATATTTGCATGATATTCTCATGATAATTGATGCAAATCCCATTCAGATTGATCTTGATAATTGAATATCCATGCTAAATCCCATTCAATCCCCAGGATATTCACATGATATTCACATTGGTTGGTCAAAAAAATCACAGCTGCGCGCAAGCGCCCTGCGCCTGATCCAAGATGCTGTTGCCAGCATCGATCAACTCGGCATCGCGGAGAGGCAGGGAAGTGGGGAACTCGCCCAGTCTTGTAATCCATTGATACATAGTCTGTGTGTTATCACTATAATTTGATAACTACTTATGATATCGTATGATATAATTCTAGTGTATTCACTAATATGATAGTAATCATATACGTATAGTATTTATATCGTGATATATAATGATATATATATATATAATTGATGCAAAGTGATAGCGTATAGTGACTATAATAAGAGTTTGAATTATACTGGATTACAATCATATCATATCTTTTATAATGAATTATAATACTTATGACGTACATAACCTTAATCATATATATATAGTGTGTATATATAGTCTATATATAATTATAATACATTGCGTTGATCTTATCATATATACATCCTATATCATCATATTACATCTACATGGTTTTGCTTGAAAGTTGGTTATGATACATATTTCCATTTTAGTGATGCGTTTGTTATTTTTTAATGTCCACATTCTATCTGCAGGATGACTGTACCTACTATATAGAAGGCTCAAAACATGTCCGATGGACACATATTCTTGGTCGTTTTTCGATCCCCTGCTAAATAGTTTCAAGTCTTAGGTGGTCATGTGGCAAATCCATCCACCAAAAACACATGAAAACACGACAAAAAAAAACATCTGTATGGCTGTAGAACGGTAATCAAACGTGGTTTGCTGGAAAATCCACCATTTACTTCGATGATTTTCCCAGCTATAAACCCCCATCTGCAATTTTCCATTGCCACGCTTGATTAGCACGGGGTAATCCAATCCATCCAATCATACCACCGTCCAGCTAAGGGCTCCAAACCAAAGTCGAAGCGGGTAGGGTGGGTTGTAACCTCACGTTGCGTTGCGATTTTCTGGAACAAATGATGGAGTTAGCAGGTGCCAAAACAAAACAAAACCCAAAGATCCAGAACATGCCAAGACACATTCCGAAAATCTCTAGATTTCCGATGATTTTGGGGTTGAATCGGAACTAGTTCACCAATGTAATATAATGTAACATGTGAACCAATAAACCCATACCTCGTTACATTTGTGGTGAGGTCGTTCCATTCGTATTCGAAGGTCAGCATTGTTCATCCCTCAATTGTCAATCGGTCTATCCCATTTCAAAACGTCGAAATGCACTACTGTTGGAGGGTTTAGAACCGGTTACCATTCTTTTTGTCGATTTTTTCCGTTTATATACCCATCTGTCTTGATTGTATCGTGAATTATATGGATGGTATAATAATTTGCTGTTTGTCAACCACTCATGGTTACCACTTCCCAACCTGCTACCCTTTGTCCTGCGCAAATCATATCACTGGTCAATAACCCAATAGATCCCCATCGGAAATACATATCTCAGGTACCTAAATTAGAGGTACTTATCTATGAATCTATATGAAGTCTATGTAAGGCATAGAGAAAAGGGACTGTTTCCACAAAACATCACGATGTGAGGTAGCAACATCCAGATTATCCAAGTATATCCCCATTCATATCCCACTATAGCACTATGTTTTGTTGTTTAAATCCCTGCTTTTATTGGTTAATTTAAAAAAGAAACAAGATACCACCCTCAACTCCCATTAACAGTACAGTTTTCTTGGGGTATCCCATGAAATCACCATTACACTAACCACCTATATATATATATATGTAAACAGCTACATATGTATATATATATATATATGTATATATATATGTATATATATATGTATATATATAGCAGGTAAATATATGAACACATAGTTATATATATATATAGTTTTGTATGTATATATAAATATATTGTTGTATATATAGATAGATTTTTATATATATATATATATTTATTGTTGTAAATATGTATGTATATATGGTTGTATGTGTAAATACAAATATATATATATATATATATCGTTGTATATATATATAGCTAAATAAAAAATATTGCTACATTTATATATATATACGTATATAATGCTGTATATATAATATATAACTAAATATAGTATATAGCTCTATTTTAAGCTCGAAAGAAAGAAAGAAAGATAGATAGATAGATAGACAGATAGATAGATAGATAGATATACATATCACATACTATCCCCATTAAGCCAACGTTAAATCACCCTTAGATCCAAATGTGGCAAATCACATGACACCGTTGAGGTCGCCGAAGGCGGGGCTGTCCATCGCCAGCGCCGCGTCCTGCGAGTATATCGATGGAGGATAGGACAACTGGATCTATAGTAATAGATAGGGATAATGTAACGATAATATATCTACCATGTAGGGATAACGATATATGATAATGTTGGGATAATAATTTATAATAACATATTATAATGATAAGGGAAAATAACATAATAATCATGATACTGTAGTACTGATGTTAGGGATGATATGTGAGCTATATTATGTATGGTAATAAAAGAACTAATGATATATGATAATGTACTAATAACAAATAATAATCATGATAACCATATACTAATATAGATGGTATCATGATCTGTAATAACGACATATGATAATGTAATCATGATGAAAGGGATGTAAATGGCATATATGGCATATATGGGATAGTTTTTATGTTTATAACAACTGGACTCTTCATGATCTGTGAGTGAGAATGTGGACCTGTTCCGTAACTCGGAATTTCTTTCATAAAATTTCCTTTGATAAGTTAGAACAACGGTTATCCTCCCGCACATTAACATAGATCCGGCCAAATGGGGGGTTGGAAGGTTCTTTTCCACTTTGCAAAACTCTTTTCAGAGTCTATGTTAGTTTGCGGGAGGGTAACATCTATGATATTCATCTATAATATACAATTAACATTTGCAAATGAGTATGTTTTTGTGCAATTCTTTGCCAAAAATATCTCTAGCCATAGTGTGTGAGACATGTGTATAATTTACAATCATCATCATATATATATATACATACCATAGTTAAACCATAGTTAAACCATAGTTAGGTTTATAAACATATCTCTACAGAGTGTGTGTAGCTCATGTACGTTTAGTATAGTTATATAATATATAACCGTTGGGTCTTTATAACATTTGTAGATATACAGCACTCTATACTTCATGGTTTTCTCTTCGCAACATTGTTGTGGGGGCCACCACCTGACAAGGCTGGTGATATTTGCAGAGGAACCTGGGAAAACCAACTGACCATAACTGACCAACTGAACAGTTGCCCGCCAAAACATGCCAAACCTGTCCACAAAAGCCCTGGTGTTTTTTGAGTTTTGTATTGTAAGGGGTCATGAACCTGCCTGGATGATTGGGGATTGTGAACTGGCACATGACAGGAATCCACGTGCTTCTATGTTCCCACAGCCAAGTATCTGCCGGGCGCACCCGGGCGGACACGAATTTTTAGCTACACCCAAGATATCATATTTCATGGTTGCCCGTAATGGCCCAACAGTCCACAATATTTTTGGTGGCTATTTAGGATATACCCGATGTTCAACAACACGATATTGTTTCTAATCCCAAGTGTTTGTTAAAGTGGTGGTATCTAAAGTGGTGTTGACAAGGTCCTTCAAATTTTGGAAAAACTATCAAAATTGCAGAAGCATCTGGGAACATGCTTAAACATAACCTAGGTGCACTGAGTGCACTGGACATTTTTCCTTTATTAATCCAAGGTCACAACAGTGTTCTCGTCAAACATGTTTCTGAAATCTCTGACTTGGATGGTCTGAGAAATTCATCTACCATCTCAAAGCTTCAATGCCGTGAAGTACACATGTTGAAAACGCAAAAATAGCTTGTGACAAAAAGACTAAGTCTTAACTTCATCTCCAGGCCAGTCCTCAAGTTAGCATTTCAATAGTTCGCGGTTTTGCCAGTTGGGGCGACACATATTCAAGGACGAGACCCAGATTCGTTCCTCAAGAGCTAGTTAATTGAGTCTTTTGTATCATAATGGCATCTCCCTGTCTCGCAGGCCCATGTGACCCATTTTTCTCCGCTGATTGTCCCGTCCACGCGGTCCGAACTCTTTTGATCACATATTGCCTCACCTTGAGTGGCATGGACGGGCCCCCCCTTGATTTCTGATACGGTCGGGTCTCCCTGGGTTTCATATTCAGTTTGTCTCAACCTTTGATAGCATTTGATTGAAAATCTTCATGTCCGGAACTGACATGTGAGAGGGACCAAAACTAAGGGTCACAAAAGCGGTCATGAGCAAAAGTTATCGCTAGATGGAGTTCTCTATATCGCTTTAGATGCTTTTGCAACATGTCATGCAAACTCTCATTCATCTCCACATCAACAATAGGGGCACTTCATAGCAGTCTGAGGCCCGCTGTTCTTTTGAAGTGCAAGCGCAGCGCAATTTAGCTCAGAACAGCTTGGTTGTTTGCATCCTTCTTTTGCTTCAGACTCTCTTGTCATCTCTTTGGGTCATTAAGTCAAAGCTGTATTCAACAGTAGGTTTCAAGCCTGGATGGCGCCGAGTAGATGTTTCAAAACTTGACGCGCGATCAAAGTGCGCCACTCCGGGGATGGGCTGGGTCTCTTGCTACCCGGGGCAACTTTTGGCCGTTTTTGGTTATAGCAACGTTATCGCTGGTTTCATCTGGTGAATATCCGAAAAATGTGAAAGATTGTTTCTCAAGTACGGGCTCCGAATTCCAAAGCTTGCGTCGTAACAGGTTTTGGCACCAAATTCTCCGGTCAGAAGTGACCACGCCAGGCCTTTTGGGAGCATCTGGTTTCACATCCGGCTGATACTACAAAAAAACATTCAGGGCTGCCATATACAATCCCAAAGGGTTGCGAAAAAAAACACCTTTCAACTTCACCATCAAATTATATTATCGCTTTAAGTGGTTCACCATATTCCTATCCATGCAACCACAGGGCCTCTTGTGTAGAGGTTTCGGCATGGACCTTGTAAGTATTTTCTCAAGTGCTCATGTGCGCCAATAATTATTAAGGCACTGGATGGAAATGCGGATGGAGCCCTAGACATACGGAAAAAAGACGGCCGTATCAAGCACACTGTGCTTTGGATTCATATCGTCCCCTGGATTCCCAAAGGCTGATCACATGGATTGCTCGTGTCAGCCGCCTGCAGCTGGCCCAAGGTGGAATTGAGCAACATCGCCATGCATCGCCGCCAATTGCATGTTTCAAGGTCGGGTCGATACTTGACCTTGTAGTGCATAGAAGACTCCGCAAGAAACTGGCTCACGGCCGACAAGCCACCGCAAGGCAATGCGAGAGTAATTTTGTCTGGCAGCAGTGGCGGCCTCAGATTGATGCCGCAAAACAAAAATATAAATATTCTTGATGTCGAAATTATTTGAAACAATCGTTGCCGCAAAACATCTGAAGAACTCTTTTCTGGCTGTATCGTTGCATTCACCTGTCCGAGCACATTCTGCTCACATTGAATCAAAACATGATGCAAAAAAACATAATAGTAACTTCATGTAACTTCTTCTTATTCTTGGCTTTATTCCTTGCGGAAACTATGAAACTTTTATTCTCACGGAATTTTGAAAAGATTGCCTGTCCTTGACACAACCAGCATGGATAGTGGGTCCGGTCAGATTTGACCACAAACATCTCATGCCAGAGCCGTTTCACACAGTCTGCCTAGATGCCCATGAATCTTGCCAATCCAGTCTGGCAGCGCGAACCCTTCGATGGCCCGAGAATCGAAGAGCCGGAGCTAGTTGCTAACGAAGTTGATTGTTGGTGCATGTTGGTTTTTCAAAGTGGATTGGCCAAAAAGATCCAAAAAGTACATCAATTGGCAGGCCATGATTCTTTTGCAGCTCGAGGTGCTCCAAATCAAAACACTTATCAACATACCTTCCCGCACTTGATGAAGAGATGCGCATGTGTCAAACCAGTTTCAAAAAACATATTGCATCCCATCAGTGCCGTAGCCTACGATAGTGAAAGGAAACGGCAACGTCTGGATTTTTGCAGGGAAATCAGAGAATTTAGGACCTCCTTTGTCGCCACTTTGGTTTCCGCCGCTAACTAAAGCAATCAAATGATAATCCCAGGGACTAACAATGGCGTCGAGCTGGTGTTGGCTCTAGTCCGACCCCGACCATCTTATCAATGAAATCCTGGGGCAATATCCTTTACCGACCATGACAGGGGAGGTCGTTTTCAAATTTTCAAGTCATCGGGGGCAACCCCAAATCATCCAAGACCACTAGACCAAGACTTAGTAATGAAACCTATGGTGACGACTGGGGATCCCCCACTCCAAAAAAACCTCATGGGGGAGGAACATCCGAGGTCCTCTGCTGGGGCCCAGAAACTTTCCCAATACATCCAGGAGTCATTGCCCACCTCCTTGGAAGCCGAAAACAGGTCGTTGTTGGTTCAAACCCACCATGTTGGGACCCAAGCATATATTAATGGGTAATGAAGCAAGTTAAGCAATGTTAAAGCTACATATGATTGATGTTAAAACCATATTAAACATTCGTTTGTTGGGTCTATCCCCATCGCGCAGTGTTCAAAAGCTGAAATGTCATCCCCTTGTGCTGAGAACTGGATTCCCATAATGGGTCAGCTCACAGTCCCCAATAAACCAAGTTAATCTGGTTGGTGGTATACCTACCCCTCCGAAAAATATGAGTCAGTTGGGATGATGACATTCCCAATGTATGGAAAAGTCATAAAATTCCATGGTTCCAAACCAGCAACCAGTTGTTGAATTCCTATCATAAATCAACAGATGGGAACGGAGTCTGCTGATGTCTGCTGTAGATGGCGGTGATATGAGTTGCTGCAATGCGTTGCCAACATCCAACTTGACTCACTGCGAAATGGCCATCATCATGAATCATGTGATCAATTCATCATAATTCATCGGATACCTAACACTGATAGCTCCTCCATGGAGAGATTCTACGTGTGAATAGTGCCTGCGACCAAAATCAGGCCTAGGGATGGCCCAGGCAACCCGGCCCAGTAGCGATTGGGATCCCTCTCGTCCAGCTTTTCCCAGCCTCAGTCGCGCTGAGTCGTTTCTCCGATGCTTTTCCTCAGGACCTCTGTTTCCTCTGGTGAAACCAGGCTGGGAATATACTTTTATTGCTTTGGCCTGACGTTTTTCCCCAATGTCTCATCTAGTTATAGAAAAATAACTGATGATTTTTTTTTCGCAAATTGATGCATTTACCTAATTTACTCAGGATGTTTCGCCCAAATGCACCATTGTTTCCAGATATTTCCTGTATTTCACCCGGTTTTTCCGGGTTGCCAGACACCCCAGACACAAGGAAAACTGGATGCTAATCCATGCCTTGGATGATTTGGTGTTTCCCCATGACTTAGGAAAACTCCATATATGCATATAGTTAATGTTGAGGTTACTAAAAAATAGACATCTCCTTAACTAACATTACCTGTCATTAATTCTCATTAATTATCATAACTGGTTGGTGGTTTTAACATGTTTTAACCATCTTGAACAATATGGAAGTCAATGGGAAGGATGATTCCCCAATATATGGAAAAATAAAAATCATGTTCCAAACCACCAACCAGATAAATTATTATTACCCTCTGGTAATTTCACATAGCTATTGAAAATGGCCATAGAAATAGTGGATTTTTCCCTTGAAAAATGGTGGATCTTTCCATGGCAAAATGTTAGTTTACCAGAGGGTAACTCCACCCATACGGTAAAATCTGGTGGCCATTTCCAAAAACCGGGTTGGCACCGAGCAGCGCCAGACCGCTGCGGTGAGCTGCGCCTGGCGCGTCCGTTATTTTGCGGTTTGCGAGACGAGTGGCACAGTTTTAAAGGTGGGTTTATTTCAATGGATTGGTTTAAGGGAAAATCTACAGGAAACCATAGATTTTCCCATTAAATATGGGGCTTTCCTGTAAATTTTCCCTTAAACCAATCCAGTGATTATTGGGTAAACCCAATACCCTCCGGTAATTTAACGTAGCTATTGAACATGGAACATAGAAATCCTTGATTTACCCAGAAGAAATTGTGATTTTCAACAGCTATGTTAGTTTACCAGAGGGTACATACTGGTTGGTGGTGTACCTACCCCTCTGAAAAATATGAGTTCGTCAGCTGGGATGATGACATTCCCAATATATGGACAAATAAAATTCATGTTCCAAACCACCAGCCAGAATATACATATATATATATATATACATCCAGGTGGTGAGTATTACATATGATATTGATATCCTATGGATTACTGTGTATAATGTGTATATATATATATAACCCATTGATCTAACTGGAGATATTCACATATATCTGTGGGTAAATGACAATGATTCAAGGTGAATTTGGGATGATTCCCTGTACTAAGCATCACTTTTCTCACTTTTCTATGTGTCCCAGCGCCTCAGCTATGCGGAAGCGCCAGGGTCTTTTGCCTGGGTTCCCCTGCCTGTAGATCACAGGCACCGCATGGTGCGGACTGACGTTAACGTTGGCGCACTGTTTCGTAAGATTTCATCGGCCAAAATGGCCATTTCGGGTCTGATCCTCAATGGCAAGCTCATTGTCCAAAACAAGACCACTCCGCTGTCAGGGCGAAGGTGGACAGGTTGGCAGTGTTTTCCTTTTTCGGCTGCCACACCCTGAACCCATCTGCTCAGCCCATTGGTGCGGGCTACAAAGTCTTGGGATTTAAGTTGCATGTTTCCATCTTCCCATTGTTTTTTACTTTTATTATATTTTACTCCCTTGGATTTTGTCTGATATTCAAAAAGGGCATTCAACTGAAACCATGACATGGCTTTCACAGGCTGGTTGGCATCGCACAGTGTGTTGAGCCAATCCGCGATGATGTGGCCTGCTGGGCACTCATACCTGCTGGCCAATGGAGTTGCAGTGAAATCCTCTACTTCGGCTGGTTGAATATCGGCTGCTTTAATCCGGCTCGGATGCTGCTTGTCCTCACGCAATGGTGTGGTTCGGTGGTTTCGGATGGATTCTTTTGCTACAGCCAGCATGGTGGCATGGACCTTGTTGCGCATGATGTGGATGGCTTCGATGTCTGTACACAAGTCTTTCCATTGTTGATGGACCTGTGGATGGAGTGTGAAGGCATGCTCGGCAAGGCGATCCGCTTTGTCATTACCTGTGCATAACCATGCCTCTGCTTCATCTATGGCCTTTGTTGGATCTTGATGGCTGCTGATCTTGACAATGTCGAATTGATCTCCAAGGTATCGAACTAGGGCATATGCTTTATTCCAGAGGTCTGCATTGGCACGGCTGGTGGCTACATGTTTATCATGCTGGCGTGCTTTGCGGAGTCTGCGAACTACCATGTCATTATCACACCAAACACGGACTGGTCGACGGGTCTGGATGGCAAAGGTCATGGCACTGATTGTTGCCCAAATTTCCCCACGGAGGGTGGTCTGCAGCCAGCCAGGGACCAGGCCGCAAGCTAGGGGGTGGAAATCCAAGTTATCAGGGTTACCTATGACAACTGCCCATGATGCGAGTCTACTGAGCGAGCTGGTGGGTGATAGGCAACTACCATCTGTGAAGCATTCAAGATGTGGTGGGATCTCAGTGGGCCACATGTAGTCTGTATGCTGGTCAGGAATTCCTAGACAACTTTCTTGAAACTTTCGGAGGCTGGGTGGCTCCGGCATCCACCCATGAGTCGCCACACATGGTGGCAAACTTTTGATAGTTTCAATCTGTTCCCTAGAAAGCAAACGGACATTGTCAAAGTAGGGACAGTCCCATTGGCGATGGACCTGTGAATCTTGGGCACCGCAAAAAACACATTTATCGGCATTGGGGTCATCTCTTTTGTTGGCATGATACTTTTGCCTGTCTGCTGTGAAGAAAGTTCCGTTGAGGGCTACTCTCATCAGTGCTTGGCTTTCATTGTCAACTTGGTGAAGCGTTGGTATGGTCAACAATGGGGACATCCACTGTAGGCCCTCCATAGTTTTCCGGTCTGATACTTGCCCTTGGACGCGCTGGTGCCATGCAAGGATAAGTCTGGCTTTGAGTTCCTGTATAGGACATGTGGCCAGATTGATCTTGCGGCCCCATTGGTCATTAAACGTATCTTGACTTTCCCAATGCCATCCTATCTGGTGAAGCCTTTCAAGCAAAACGGAAATCGGACCTGGCCTGGGTACTTTTACCTTTTTAGGAAGGTGGAGTTCCGTGAAACAATAGTGGGCTACATCCAAATTGGGGTACAAAGATCTGAACATGGATACCGTGGTGAAAAGGGCTGAAAATTGGGGGTCCGTTAAGGTTCAAGAAGGCTAAGGTGGATTAGGGGAGAAGTACCTGGACTATGTTCTCCCAGTCCTTGCATTGCCCCTGTTCTTAACCGCTGGTAGTGTTCTTCCCCTAAGTGGACCGACGCTATTCCATGCAAACAGGACGGCCATGCTTTGGCCCTAAGGGCTTGGACTTTCTGCTTATACGGGGCAGTGGATCGCGCTAATCTACCCCATAAGGTTTGGAGATCATGACATCTTGCTGCTATGGTGGTGTTGGAAACCACCTGTGAGTACTGGACATGCCCTCCTAAGTCTTTTGCACCTAGCCGGACCTGGTGGTCACTATCACGCAGGGCACGGCGCTGGCTGGATTCAACTGCCCAGGTGTAGGTTTTGTTGGAGTCAATTCGCATGTCCATCACCTCACAGTAGGCATGAAGGGCATCAATGGCTGCTTCAACTTGGTTGGCTGTTTGCCCGGTGACTTCCCAGTTATCAACAAAAGACCAGAGCATGACCTCTGGATAGCGTCTTTGTAGATATTGATGAACAACCAAATTGGCACCCAGCATTGCTGTCACTGACAACGGGCATCCCTCAGCAAATCCACTGGTGGACCTAAGAGGCGGGCCAACACTTTGTCTAATGGTGAACCTGCGCTCAAGTGCAACAAGGACTGTGGACCATGCTCTAAGGACTTGTGGGGCTACTTGCAAGATGTTCAAAAACTCCATGATGGGCATGCGGGGAAGCATATTAAAGGCTTTTTCCAAATCCAGGACTCCTCCGGTAAGGGACTTTAGGGAGTATTGTGCTGTTTCAATGGCTGTCATGATTTGGTACCATATGTCTGCTGCTTGTCTACCCGGAACGTTGCCAGAACATGTGTCTGGTGCCAAGGGTTGAAGGTGTCGCAAGATTTGTTTTGCTCTGATAGATCCCCATACCCGATATACTATGGGTAGGATTGTGATTGGTCTGAATTTGTTGGTGGTGGCTGCATTGGGGACTTTTTCAAGGGCTGCTACCAGTCCCACGGTGAGTTGGCGGGGCCATGCTTTACCCTGTTCAACATCGGCTAAGATTTGGAGGATGCATTCCGTCGCTTGTCTTGGCAAATGAAGGAGATCTTGTCTGCTCACTCCATCTGGTCCGGTTGCCGACTTCTTGGACTTAGCTTTCAGGCATGCCATCCACTCGGTGTATGTTATGGGATGATATTCCATCGGGGCTGGACGTGGCAACGCTAGCTGGGCAAATTGCACTATCGGATCCCATTTCTCGTCTTCCACCTGTTGATGACGGTCCCATCGTGCCGTCCACTCATCGTTGAACTTAGCAAAGAGGTCAGGCAAGTTTCCTATGTAGGTTTCTTGTTCAACCGTCATGCCCTGCTGGAAACCCTCTACATTATCAAGCCAAATCTTATTTTCTTCGGCATGGATGATGTTGGCTGCTGCTGCTTTCCCCTTGATTGGTTGTTCGGGGTTCCATTTGATGTCATGTTGAGTGACGACTGCACTTTCATCTGGATCAACCTCTATGACACTCGTTTGGTGATGATCAATCAACATTTGCACTGGCTGTGGTTGGTCACCCTTCAAGTCACGAAAGATGATCATGGGGTCATCAAGTCGTCTTTGCTTGGCTGCTTGACAACGCTGGTTGTTCAATTGTTTTTCCCATTGGTCCAGAAGGCTATGGAATGCTTGGCTGATCGCACAGGCTTGTGCATGGTCTGGAGCTTGATGAGGCCACCCACCTTCGAGGGGTTTTTGTTCGGTGAGCCATGTGGGAAAAGTGGGCAGAAACCCTGGTGCCTGGGTAATGCTTGCCCACAGTTTGTCACGGTGCTCAACTGCAGTGGGGGTGGTCGGACTATTATTGGCAAGTCGAACAAAATTGACCAATCTTCTATGTTGCTTAATCCATCTACTATGCTGGAGGTTCAGGCCATGGAAGTTCGGATTTGGGTCACCTGGACGACCTGACTTGACTGGTGCAGAGTGTTCCTGTACCCAACGGACTTCTAACGTCTGGCCTCTCCCTTGAGCTGCTGCTGGGAGTTTCTTGGCTGTTTTGGATTGCATTGCTTTGTCAACCGCTCGTTCAACTGCTTGCCAAAGCTCGGCATAGTGTTCGGTGCGATCTTCTCGAACTGATGGTGCTTGAAAGTTTCTCTCCATTGGTTCAGTAGGCACTGCTGTCCAGTCAATTGGTGATGGCTTTCTCCACATCGGCAACATTGGTGGTTCACCTAATGGCTTGAAGCGTGCCATGAGAATGGAGTGGTCGGCAAACCAATCATGCTGAACTTCTACATCCCTCAAATACATCGCCAACTCCGGGCTAACGTAAAGATGGTCTATAGTTGTTTTCTGTTTGCATGTTGGCTGTACGGTTTTCCCAAGTTTTTGGAACGCCCAAGTCTGGACGTTGACCCATCCAGCATCTGCCAATTTGGCCATGCACGGAAGTGCTCCTTCTGGCTGATTGAAGTCCCCACATATGAACCTAAGACCCTGGCTATGGTCAAGGAGGCGGTCTACTACATGCTGACACTGCTGTTCGGTCTGATTTCGCGTGGCTGTAAGTTGGGGGTGGGATGCATAGCCATATACTACCCCCCCTTGGATCCATCTCTGTCCATTTTGAAAACATGCGACATGAAAACGACTTTCATCCCAAGCTTCTTTGGGCCATGTTGGAGTCATTGCTCTATGAGGAGTAGCGCAAAGGAATCCAACTCCACGGTGCTTGCCTGCTATTGCTGATGGTGTATGAGATCGGACGGGAACTGGCGATCCCAATTGTGCTTGCAGCCCTGTTTTTTGGTGTTTGAGCTGCTGATGAAATTTTAACATCCCTGGTTTCGAAAGGTGAGTTTCTGATACTGCCCAAATGGCATGATCTTCCTTGGGTAAGGATGCCAGCATCGAGGTTTTTCCCAAGATACCAGTTGGATTGATGCAACCAATGATGCACTCATTGCGAGTGGGTCCCGGCACGGCTGCTTCTCCTATCCTAAACGCACAAAGGAAGTAGCAAAACATGAGCCGCAAAATGCGATATGCTCCTGTACATTGTTTTCGGCCCTTGGGTGGACCTAGTCACTCATTGGTGCGCTGTCTTTTCCCAAAAAGTTGCTCTATGCGCTGCATCTGCTGCTCGAGTTTGGTCTCCAAGGTATTTTGGAAAAAGCCCTGCTGTTGATCTACCTTCGTGTCAAGGCTATGGATCTGGTTTTGGACTGCTTGCTGCTGTCGCTGCATTTCATGCTGATGGTTGGCAACTGTCGTGCTGAGCTGGTCAAGGCGAGCTTCAAGGGCTTGGACCTTGTCATCAGGTGGTGGTACCATCTCTGCATCATCAGGGCGGAGCTTGTTAAGCAGGCTCTGTTCAATGCGGCTTTCCATGGCCGTGACTTGGCCTGTGGACAGTTCCCCGGTGCTCGGTCTCGTTGCTTGCCAGGGGTCGTGGTGGATCCATGGATCTTCGCCTGTGCTTGGAGCCGATTTGGATTGCAAGGCTTGAATTGTCTTGGACGACGCGAGGACTGCTTGGCTTGGTTCTTGGACAGCTGGTCCTTTCTCTTCAGGTGACACTAACACATCCCCATGAGACAGCTGGAAGATCCAATGCGATGGTGGTTCAGCATCATTCCAGTGAGGTCGCAGTGAGGTCGTTGTAATTTACATATATATATATATATACCACATATATATATATACATATATATACATATATATATAATCATTAGTTGTGAGATGTAAAGCATAGATACTAAAAACGGTTCACTCTATCCAGGCTCACATCCGCATGGCTTTTTCTTCCCAAACTCTTCGTGCGGTCTCAACCTGCTCCTCGCAGGATAGTGCTTTGGAACGCTGTGCAGGTAGTCTCCTGCACAGCAGCACTGGTTGGATCCGTACACCCTGTTCCGCACTCCTGTAAACTCAGGAGGCTACACAGGTTGAATCTCTCCCGCCCAGTGCTACAGTCGTGGGACTCCACGTAGAGATCAGCATCCTCAATGATGTGATCCCCTACAAGGGAGGATACTCCACCGGAGTCCTACCTCATAGGGAGGGAAGGGAGGGAAAAGAAAGAATGATGAAGCCAGTTTGGCTCAGACTTGAGCCAAAATGGATTCATCAGCTTACATACTCACCCTAATGATAATGCACACCCAGTGCCTGCCAAACACGATGCATACATACATTAGTTGTGAGATGTAAAGCATAGATACTCAAAAAGGTTCACACTGTCCAGGCTCACATCCGCATGGCTTTTTCTTCCCAAACTCTTCGTGCGGTCTCAACCTGCTCCTCGCAGGATAGTGCTTTGGAACGCTGTGCAGGTAGTCTCCTGCACAGCAGCACTGGTTGGATCCGTACACCCTGTTCCGCACTCCTGTAAACTCAGGAGGCTACACAGGTTGAATCTCTCCCAATGCACTTCATCCCAAAGCACTCAGAGAAACTCCACAACCCGGAGAAACGCGGGAAGTGGTAGAGACCAAATCTCGAAGGGGAAAAATGCAAAATGCGTGGTGAACCCATGGCGTTTGTGCCATGTCGCCTGGAGGCCTTCACGGCTGATCTCATCAGACCAGTTGGCCTTGCTAGGGATCCACTCCCAGAAAAACCAAGCCTTAAGACCAAAAAGAGTAATATGGATCAACCGTGACATATGCTCTAAATCTGCATTGTCAGAACGACCTCGGATCAATGCCATCAACGCTGCCGTGTTGTCGATGAACCAGAGACCTCGTCTGCCTCGAAATCTGGACGGCCGAGAAAACAAGGCATAGAGCACTTGCAACAGCTCTAACTGGGCAATCTTCTTGTCACCAGGCTCCCAGAGGCTGTACACCAGTGGGGGAATGAGAGAAACAAAAGCCTCCCGGTGTTGCCTGTGATCGTCATGCCACACCACCAAAAAGCCTCCAGTCCCCTGACCTGGGCTCTCCAACGCCGCATCCGAAGCAGCAAGGAAGCGGAGCCCTGCATGTGGCCAGATCTCAATGTGGCGAGAAGGCCGGGTGGTGATGACAGCACGTAGCAGGTCAAAGCTTTGGCGCAACTCTTCAGTTAACTCTGAAGAGCGCTCCTGCTGTCTGTGCTTGATGGGGGCCAAGCCACCGCAGCCAATACGCCCCCACACGCCAAGCTCAAAGAAGTTGGCGATACCGTAGAGCTTGGCTGCCACCCCTGGTTGCAGCTTACCGGATTCCTCGGCAGTCTGCATAAGATGAAGCAGCTTGGTCTCGATGCGTTCACGGGCCCAAAATTGAACCAGACCCTTCAAATGGACTTGACTGAAGTCATGATCCAGGCCCAAAAAGGTGCCGGTACTCTGCATCTTCTGACATTTCTCCTCGGAAAATGGTGTACCCAAAAGGGTGTTGAGAGTCTGCAAAGCTCTCTGACCTGATCCCCGGCACGATTTGCGATCTGTCAAGTGAGCATCATCGAAATACAGACTGGTCAAACAAAAAGCAAATCGACGTGATAATGCTTCCACAAAACGACTGTATCGATTGAACGATGTGACTGCAAGAGGAAGACCAAATAGCAGACCTGTATAAATCATAAACGCTGGTTGTTGCCATTCATGATGGAAGAAAGCCACAATGCAGCATAAGGCCTCATCCCAACTCATAGGGCAAAAACGATAGGCATCTGGCCAATCCTCACCGCCAGACTCCCATTCTGCCTCCCAGTTGGGTGACCTCCCAAAGGCGAAGGCATACTGCAGGTGTTGGGCTGGCCGCAACGCTGAGCAAAGGGTGAGCTTGTTTGCATCACTGGAACGCTCAGATTGCAAGCCAACATAAGCGTCATCAATTACTCGTTGCTTCCCCGAGGATTGTGTGATGACACATCGCGGGATCAATCGGTAGGGTTCCGCACCCAGACAACGCTGCAGTTCCTCTGCAGTCATGGGCAACCCACAAAACCCTTTCTCAGCATCCTTAAGGCTTTGCTGCAACAAAAATTCATCATCGGCACCTGGCTTGAGCCGAGCTAAAATGGTGTTGTTGTGGCTCTGCCAGTCCTGGAGTACCTCCTCTCTTGTCAAACGTGTGGCAACTTGTTCCGGAAAAATGCCATATGGAGGCGCGTAACCCACTGCGGGAAGCCCCATACACAGGCCTGCTGGCAGTGTCACGTCACCCCAATTGGCCACAAGAAGAAGAATTGCAGTGAAGCCGATGTCACGCTGCATTGTTGCCGTCCTGATGGCCTCAGTCTGTTTGCGTCTCAAATGGGTTGTGATCGAGCTCCACCGTCTCTTCATCTCAGACAAGATGCCCATGGCGCGCTCTCGCAACCTGCGCAGGTCAACTCCTGGCAGGCTAGAGAAAGATGCAGCAAACCTCAGATCCTCATCCAAAATGGGAAGCCCTTCAGTAGGCAACTGTTGCATGCTGAGCTGAAGGGCTTGCTCGAAATGCTGGTCTGGCTGAAGGTGAAAGGGCAGAAGGGGGGCCAACGCCGCTCTGTGGTTGATTGCTCCCACCTGTTGCCCTTCTGCCGTCCTCATCTTCTGCCGCACTGAAGGGGCTGCCAACACCGGGTTACAGCTGCCCTCCATGTCCAGCCCTTGTTGGTGGCGCCATCGCACAAATAGGTCAAGTGGGTGCTGGTTCACTAAGTCCTCCACAAAGGGGATGGCAACTCCCTCGAACCACTCGCCTGGGTACAGCTTCTTGAACGCTAACGCCAAGGACTCCTGCAGAATGTAAAATGGCCCAAAGGGGATGCCTGTAGCCCGCGCTACACTGGACAAGAGGACACACCGGGTAACTCCCTGGGGACTCCTGCCAGAATAACCTTGGACCACCTGGGGGGCACTCCGCTGGCCCTGCTCGCTCAATCGATCAAAAATTAACCCGGCTAGGAGGTCGGCCTCACAAGTTTTGGCTGCAGGGCAATCACAGACTAGCACTGCTCCCTCGAGCTCATCCAACTCGCACCAGAGTGTCTCCCTGATGTACTGGACGTAGTAGGGAACCCAGTCTTGAGGGGTGCAATTCACTCCCACCTGCCATGGAGACTTCCACTTGGTGGTCGGTAGGCGGTGGTTATGATTTCCAAGCCCCACATACACATGACCGGGGGGAAGGGCGCCCTGTTGCAAGACATCTTCAACACATGCTCTTATGGGCACCCTAGCCGCTTCAGCTGTGTCCAAAGGCCTCAAGCCCAGGCTGATGGCCAGTGGGGTCATAGCCCACTCACGAAGTGCTCTAGGATCAAGGTCAAGCCAATGGTCCCGATGCCCAGTACAACTCGGCGATGGGGACCTCGGCACATAGAGCTTGGCGTGTCCAACACGCACTGCCCACCACGAAGCTGCCGTGGCAATCGCAAAACAGAGCTCTGCTGTATACTCGGACTCCTCAGCTGAAGGGAAATGGCGCTTACCATTCTGGACCCAAGGTTCCCATTCCTGGGGATCATGGAAATGGTTGCAGTCAGCTCGAGGCCATTGAGCGATCTCTGCAATGTTGTGGCGCAACCGCTGCAGCTTCGATCTTGCACCACCAAAACAGCAGGCTGAATACCGCTGGTCGGACCAGCGACCGCTCTCCCACATCGCCACCTCATCCGGTGTCCACCAATGGAGGCTGTTGTATGGGTTCTCGCGGACTGATCCACCAACTGGTCGATCTCGGACAGCACAAAGCTCGCAGCCGCATTATCCTGCTCCACCCGTGTCTGCTGAGAACCTGTCAACTCAGGTAGACCCAGCGGGTGCTGCTCAGACCGCAACGGCCGTGGTGGTGGGCGCCCATCACCAAAGTCCCGCGGAATTTCCCTCGCGCGGCTCTTGGTGGAGCAATCCAAAGCTGCTGCGATGAAGCACACGGACTGCAACTGCTCATGCAACGATCGCTGCCTGAGGCTGTTGGATAGGTCATGACTCCTATCCAACATCCAATCCACTGAAATGGTCTCCCAACCACAAAAGATAAAGGCTTTGGACAAAGGTGTATTAGGCCCCGCATAAAGGTCCGCCATCCGTGGCAGCTGACAGTCAACTCTGTCCACGGGTCTTGCCTCATCCTGCCCAGCAGAAGTGCCCGCCTCTCCCGCTGGGCCCCGTCATGGCGAAATCTTCGCCCGACATTGGATAGCTCCATGCCCCGGCATACCACAAATGCGTTCACCACGAACCACGATGCCACACTTGTGCTGGCCTTGGGGGCAAGAGCTTTTGGGGTTCTTGCACTGTCCATGTTGGAAAGCCTGGCAAATCTTGGAGCCATCGCGCATCACCTTGGCCACCTTCTTGCCACCGACCGGCTTGCCCAACGCAAACTGGGATGGTTGTTGGACTGCTGTCACAGCTACCGTGGTGGGCTTGCTCGCCTCTGCCTTAGGAGCTCCGGGCACCGCATGTGGTACCCAATGGGCATCACGTGCCACACTGGTCTCCTTGATGACCTCCCCCAAGGACTTGGATGATTCCCGAAACTTGGCAACCCAATCGGAACGATCCTCAAGGTCACGGGCTTCGAGCCAAGCCAACCTCTGTGACAACGGCAGTGCACTGGACTGACGCTTCGCTCTGTAGAAATATTGCATGACCACATCCAGCGGCACCTCCACAAAGG